AGGGACCTGGGAAAGATATGATGCCAAAAAGAATAAAGACAGAAAAAAACTATAGAAGCATGAAATGAAAATAGCATTTAATTTACTTTGTCTAAGGCTTAGAGAACATGGAGTAATGAGAGAGAAAGATCTAGGTAAAATTCAAATTATAGACCACTCTGTCTGCCAGGCTCAGGAGTTTGAACTTTCTCTGTAAAGGAGCACAAATCTCTAGGTTTTGTGAAATCTGGCATCATTTAATCAGAACTTCCAGAAATGTGCTTGCCAGAAACTTCATCTAATCATGGTGTGTAAGATACATGAGGATGTGTATGTTTTATGAGAGCCTTGTGCCACTGAGTAGTGATGCTGTATTCATGTCTTCCTTAGCCTGAGGGCTCCTACAGGCCAAGGATTAGTTTTAGCTACATCTTCTCCTCTCTTGACCTTGCAGGGCCTAGTTGCTGGAAGAATGTTGACATATTTCTAGAAGGGTTGATGCCAGCCTAAACCACCACCAGCAGTGATAGGCAGTGATATAGGGTTAGCAAGCATACAAATTAGCAACTGATTAAATACGAAAGTCTCTTGTCCTCCATAATGTTGTAGACTCCTTAAGTTCAGGGACTGGGATTCTGCTCAAGGACTTGGTATTCTAGTCTTTCTTTTGGGTACACGAAAAACCTTGAGGAAAGCTAGACGACAAATGAGAGGCAATCTTTAAAAAAAAATAAAAAATAAAACCTTTTTCCCCGCTGCAGTACTTATTCCAGATATCTAGGAGTAAAATGTTTTTTATATACTTCCAGATTATTATCTGAAAAGTTTACACCAGTGTGTATGCCTACCAAGACTGTATAGTTGTGTTCTTTGTCCACGTCTTGTCAGGACTGAAAATTACATCTATTTTTGTCCCCAATTCAACAGGCTAAAAATGAAATATTATCATTTTACTTTGGATTTCTCTGATGACTACAGAAGTTGAGATTGTTTTCATATATTCAGTATCCATGAATGGTTCATATTTTTTAGCCTAGTTTTAAAAGTGGGTTTCTTTTCTCAATAATTAATGAGAATTCTTTATGTATCAGTGATACTAGCCTTTGATTCCTTATTTACTTTGGAAATACTTTATTCAAGCATGATATTTTGCCTTTTAAAATTATTTACAGCAAAATATTTATAATATAGATGTTCTAAGTTTTAAATGATAAACCTGCAATTTGTATTTTCCTTTATACCTTCTATGTTTTATGTAAGCTTGACAAAGCTTTTTTCACACGATACATTATAAAAGTATTTTCCTTGTGTAGTATTTATATTCACACTTAAATTTGGATCATTGGGTGATCTTACATTTATTTGTGTGTGTTAGGTAAGGTACAGGCCTAATTCCAGAAAACAATTTCCACAAATGAAAATGCAGCCAATCAACTATTCTGGGTTCGGCCTCAGATTTAATAGTTGAATCAGGAGTGATTTAGGCAGATCTAGTGCATTGTCTCCGCAGATCACTGTCTATCTGAGTTGTAGTCAGAGAGAAAGTTGTAGTCAGAGAAAGGAATCTTGTTTCTGTTTAATCCATTTGATTTAGGATCAGTTGTGAAGTTCCACAGGTCTTAATGTCTAATTATACCTTCAGAGTTAACCTAGAGAATAACACATGCTCTATTCATTATATGTAAGCAGAGTAAGAATGAGGAGAGAACAATAAAGTGAAGTCGGAGCTTCTCACTATTGTGACAAAGCGATTAGGCTGTTTAGAGAAAACATATGCAAACCATTCCACCCAGTGTCTACACATAGTAGGGCCACATTACTGGTAACTAGAAAATAATTATTTTTATTATTTCAGATGTTCAGTAGAGGGGAAGACTCCTCTATCTTGGAATAATCAGGTTTTTAAGGGGAGAGAGGTTCATCTATGAAATGAGTTTAAGCCCTCTAATAAATCTGAATTTTAAAGCTTTGATATGATTTAATTACACTAAAGAAAGAATAATTGGAGTTCATTGTTCACTGATATTGATGGTCTCTTCCTGAAATTAGATATAAGGAGCCTACAAAAAATAAAGAATGGGCGTTTATGAGTGTTCTTCAAATTATATGTCCTCTCTCCTCAATCACAGCCTGGGTCTATTATATTCTACATTAGGACAAAAGCAGGGACCAGACTCATTTATAAAACGCTATGACTTTAGATATTTATGTTAGAGTAAATCAATGGAATAAATCTGAAGTGGCTGAGACAACCATCTTTGACTGGGCTGACATTTAAACCTCTGGGCTTGGAGAATTACTGATGCAGCACCTTCAGGGGATTTGACTTTATAGGTTCCTCTGCCCAAGAATTTTTAAAAAATATAAAAAGTGATGTGTCCTTAGAGATAAGACAGGCATCAGGCTGTCACTGTGAAGCTGCTTTACTTTTAAATGGCCTATTCCCAAGTTTGAATTTTTAATCTAGTGGTAGAAAAGCTTTGGCATTCCTGGCAAAGATGGAGGATGCTCAGAAGCTATTTCCTTAACATAGAAAGCCACAGATAAATGTGAAGCGGGAGTTTAGATTCTTAACTAAAGGGAAGAGAAGAATGGAATCAAGATAATTACCTTGTTAACTTGAGGCAAAATTTAAATTCACCTTTACGAGAGTCAGGTCATTGATGCTGGAGTGTAGACCCTCATTTATTTTCATGATGAGGAGTAAAAAGGAGATACTAAAATTGTCTAGATTTAATATATTATAATTTGTAAAGTTTCATTTAACACGTTTAAAATGTGCACACCACTTTCAAAGACTTGGAAAATAGGCATAAAAGTACCCTCTGAGTATTATTTTAAAAGAAAACCTCTTTCTTTGTTTTTTCCTAGCTTAAATTCACCTCTGGTATTCAGATCAAAGAAATGGAGGGGGGGGGGTAGGAAAACATTAATATGGATCATTTCAAATCAAATGTCTTTGCTCCACAATCATAGCCTGTGTATATTATATTCTAAATTAGAACAAAGGCAGGGACCAAACTCATTTACAAAATGCTTTGACTTTAAATAGCTCAAGTCCAGATAAATCAACAGAGAAAAACAAAAGCACAATGTCAGGGAATTAATCAGAATCTAGTTATCATCAATGAGAAATTTGTACCTTCAAGTTTTTACGGGATAATCACTAAATAACTTCTGCGTATCGATCTCCGAGAGGGAAGGGATGTTCCAAGGAAAGCTAAATCCCCCAGTTAGCGTCTGGGTCACTGTCACTGCCTTAATGAGGTCTCACTCAGACAAGTAACAGGACATTAATCCACGAACGGACAGTGTTACGAGCTACCCCTAACCCCATTGAGGCAATACTTCCAAGCAGAGCCTTGACTCCCTCAAAGAGGACCCCATGAGGGTTCTCTGTGTCAGCAGCTTTGAAAGGTGTGGAGCAAGGCTTCAGAGTGGGAGGAAGGACTGGAGGGAATAGGAATAACTCATCCTGCCAAGTCAATCTTCTCTGCATGACGCTTCTACAGTACCTTATTTTCAAATCAGATCTAAATCAGCCAAGTAAGTAGAGAAACATAGGCACAAAGCCAAATAATTAAAATGAAACACATGATTTGGTTTTCATTCTCCATGCCTTTTAGGACAAATTATAATTTAGTAAAGAAAAAAGAAGCACTATTTGAAAATGGTTGGTCTCCCATGGGTTCACCTCATACTGCAAGAGCAGATAAAGTCTTTGAAATTGATATTTTCTAAGAGTATAAAGAACACATAAATATATAGTAACTGGGATGTGCCTCCATAGCATATTTTCTAAATTCAAAATTTAAATTCCTTAAAACTTCACTTGGAATCATACAAAATGAAGGACATGAAATTTGAAAAGCAACACATGCATTCTGATTGTAAAAAATCAGACACTTCAAATTGTGGCACATTACACTGCTCTCATGCATAACTATATGGTTATCCTTTGATTCCTTTGTTACTCTAATCTCTGAATTATTTACATAAACCCTTTTTCTTAACACATATTCCAAAACACAGCTTCTTGCTTTTTTGTCTTTTTTCTTTATGTGTAAATTTATAACTGTATTCATTCATTTGATCATTTATGCAACTAATGCTACCGAACACCTATTTAGAATCAAGCAGGGTGTTGATTACTGGTAGTGCAATTATGGGCTAAAAGAGGCACCATTTGTGGACTCATGCAGATAAAGTCTAATAGGAGAAACATATTACAAAATAACCACCTGAATCAGAAATTACAAATTGAAGTAGCTGCTATGAAAGAAAACCAGATGATCCAATAAAAGCAAGAGGAAAAAAAATGTCTTAGCATAGGAATTTTATCATAAACCGAGTAAACTACTCATTTACAGGTGTCAAGCACCACGATATTCTTTCTGATTTGTATGGAGACAGGACCTGAGAACAAGAGGAAATTGTTTCAAATCTTAGGATTCATTTTAAGGAAGAGAAGCACAGTGTACAAACACTATTCCTCTCCTTTCCCACCAAACAAAGACATTCATATTGTGTATATTAAGTAGGCAGAAAAGGCACCATCAACAATCACCTAAAAGGGAGGGAATGACCACCAAGGGTCCTGAGAAAGCTTCCATGGTTATGGATATGCTCTTCATCTTGACGGGGTCATGGTTTTATGATACACTTCTCGATATGTGCGATGTAATGCATGTCAATCACACCTCAATAAACATGGACACATTTTTAAAATTCTAATGTAAAAAAAAAAATCACCTAAAAGACGAAAATATGATCAATATGCTAAAAAATGTTTCCTTCTATCGAGTAGTCGCATTGCCTTTAAAAAGATCAGACTTCAGTTTAGTTTGGAATTTGCCTTTTGTTTTTAACCCAAGTGGGTGGAAGATAAGTTTTCAACACACCCATCTAGAACTCTCAGTTTAAATGTGTGAATACAAATATTGAAGATAGGCTTATTTTTCCCCAAATGCTTTCCAGCATCTGAGAAGGGGCTGCATGATGCTATCTTTGTTCTGTTTCAGGAGATTATGTGGTCATGTCTGTCTACTTTGACCTGAGCCGAAGAATGGGCTACTTCACCATCCAGACCTACATCCCCTGCACACTCATTGTTGTCCTATCCTGGGTGTCTTTCTGGATCAATAAGGACGCCGTTCCAGCCAGAACTTCTTTAGGTGAGAATCATTTCTTTGTGTTGCAGTGTCCCCAGGTAAGTACCCAGAGCAAGTAATCTTTATTCTGCTTTCTAAGTCGATTTGCTTGTAATTCATTAAAAAATTACATTAAATGTCATTTGTTTCATTTTAAAGAAAACTAGCATTTTAAAAAAACAAACAAACCAAAACAACAACAACAAAAAAAAAACAGTGCTAAATGTTTCCTATTTCTGATTTCCTTAATTACCTCAACAGGCTGTTTTTAGTAAATTGTCTTAATAAATTTAAGTTAACAAGAATGACCACAAAAACAGCCTCTAATTTCACAGATTTGTTTTGTTTTGTTTTGGTCTCTGGGCAGTTATATGATGGAGGTGCTTTCGCCAGCTCGTGAGAGCTGATCGCTTATCCTTTTCCAACCATTTGACTGAAAATGTCAAGTTGGCAGCCTGACACTAGCCAAAGTAAAAGTAGTAACACCATGGAAACTGGTAAACGCTAACCATCGCAGCCTTCATTTTTTGCCGTTACATATTTATCATCAAGAGTCAACCGTTACATATTTATCAGCACACTGCTGGCTATTAATTAATAGCAACATACACAATTATCACGATGGCATTTGAAGCCATACATACATATTAATTGTCTTTTTACAGAAGGGTCACTAAAAAGATTACTTTGGGTAAACATAATTACCTGTGAAATTTTGGGAACCCATCCTCACACTTTTAAGATTATTTACGGTTAGCTGAATCTATTGTATATGGTGATATTTATCTAATAGTTTCCCATAATAACACCTCTGACAAAATGACCTGCACCAGGCCCCTAAGACAGAAGGCAGAAATGATTACTGAGGGGGCGAGGTTAGGGGGCATTGGGACAGGGCATAATTTATATATCTGTCCTCTTCCAAATCTAATTTAGTCTTCCATCTGTTTCCAAATAGTTATTTTGAATTTTTTTCTGTTATATGCAGTACTTTATGTTACAATTCCTATTCAACCATTATAATAACTCATCTAAAACACTATATGCTGAAACAAATGAAAACTATGTTAAGCCTATTACTTTAGGAGGATTAATTGTCACTGTGAGTAGAATGTGTTACATTAGATGCTATGATGCATCTCACATCAGCATGCAAACGTCTTTTTCATTCCCAGTATGGTGGCTGGCACGTAGCTGGGAGCTCAAGGAGTATCCAACTAATGTATGCACTTATGAATGGAAGGACAAATGGATGGCTGCATTCCATTTATCTATCCCACAAATATTTTAAGGAAAAGATTTCAAATCAATTTTTTAAAGCCCAAACTCCTAATGATCAAAATCCCTCTTATGGCCACTCTGATAGCTCATTTCAAGTACTGATTAAATGAGTGCTCACTGGCAAACGGCCATGGTGGGAGGAGGGATTGAGGTGAGTGAGCTGGGAGAGGAGGAGTGAGGGAGACACCCCTGAGCGAATAGCAGGTATGTGCTCCTATTTGCTGATCACTGACTACAAGTCAGGCATGTTCAATGCAATCCCGATTTCTACTCTTCACAACAGCAGCATGTAGAAGTGGTTGTTACGATTATAAAAATGATCACATTTTTTAGAGTTAGGGAAGCAGAGTTCTGCAAGGTTATAGGACACGAGTGAGGCAATAATTATTTGTGGGTGTATTGAATGAATTCCAATCATGCCTCCCTTCCCATTACTGTGGCTGCGAGTCAAGTCCCAGCAGTGGCCCAGGTACCCCCTGTCTTGGTCACATGACCCGTTTTACCTTGCCTCTCCTCAGGTATCACCACTGTCCTGACAATGACTACCCTCAGCACCATCGCCCGGAAGTCACTCCCCAAGGTCTCCTATGTCACAGCAATGGATCTCTTTGTGTCTGTCTGCTTCATATTTGTCTTCTCTGCTTTGGTGGAGTATGGCACCCTGCATTATTTTGTCAGCAACCGGAAACCAAGCAAGGACAAAGACAAAAAGAAGAAAAACCCTGTACGTATAATTTTCCACTGGGACCATTTACATTGTTGTTGTTTTTTTTTTGCAGGAAGACCACTTGCTTTTCTTTCGGTTTGGTCTTGCTTAACCTATCTGCGGGTTAAGCCTCAACACTTTTGGGCTCCAAGATGAAAAAAGAACGTGTGACTTTGACAAGGTTATAAGGATTCGTTATGGTAATTAGTTACTTGGGAGAGCTCTGAATCACTAAGCCAGACTCTTACTCTCTTCTTTCATGGGGAATATAAACACTGCTGAGAAATGCATCTATTTTCTGGCTGCCATTATTCTGGGTTTCAGTCATTTTCATCTTTCTGCCCATTTAGCGTAACATTTTTAAATTATTGATGTTTTAAGTTAAAGTTTTCATCCAAAGCTTTCCACTATGAAGCCACAAGATTGTTGAAATTTCAAGAATCACCACACTGTTGCAAATAACTTAGTGTGTGTGTGTGTGTGTGTGTGTGTGTGTGTGTGTGTGTGTGTGTGTTGCTACCAGAGGACTTTTACTGGTTTCATACTCAAAATGTATCTTTTTGTTTTAAAAGAAATGGTTCATCTGCTGCTTGGGCAACTTATTTAGCCTCCCCATGTTGTCATCATCTCATACATAAAACGGGTATTGTAAAAAACACATAGCTAATGGAGCTGTTGTGAGAAATGAATGTGGCAACAGAGGTAAAAAGCGTTACATAGCACCTTACATGCGTCTTTGCAGCTAAAAGCTGATGACAGTTACCAACCGGGATTGATTTCTGTGATTTGAAACAGGGAGGATGACTTCGCTTTGCCACCAAACTTTAAATAGAGATGACGAAGCACAAATTTGAATGCATAAAACAATTTTCATTTATTATTAATGTTGAATAGAGCATGTAGCTACCCATTTACCCTCCTAAACACAGTGTCTGGCTCATGAAAAGCTCCCTGAAGGTCAAGGTCCATTCCCTTCCAAGACAGGGGCAGTGGGATCCACCCAAAGTATAGCCGTTCCTGGTCTCCTGCTTAAAGGCTGTGAATGCTAGGATAGTGGCTAACTATCTGACCCACAGACTCTGGGGAGGGCTGAATGGTAATGAGGGGATCTAGCTGATTGTAGCTTATAACCTGATGAATCTCCAGGAACCCCAGTGAAATTCTATAAACGTCGGATGTTCATTTGAATATAAGAATTTATAACAGATAAAGAAAGAAGCATCGTAAGTCTTCATGATTAATACAAAATAGCCACTTATCTTTAATTTCCCAAATATTCACCATGCTTTGTGCAGTCCTTGCCTTCCCCGTCTGTCCTGCCTCTCTCTGCCTTTGCATTTTCTCTATCCTTGAGTTTCCTTGTTGTGTGTGTTTCTTTTCTCCCCCTCCTTCACTTTCCATTTCATTTTCCTCCAAGAAGATGGTTCTATTGATACTCAGCATTATCACCTGCCAGCGGTAACACGGGGATGAGGACTGGCTTTCAAACAAGCCTGAAGGGTCCTCTGGAAAAACCCTCTCTCCCTCTCTAACAGCTAGGTCACTGCAGAGTGGATTTGGTGGCAGAAAAAGAAACACTTGGATTCCTTAATACAGGGTCATGAAGAAGACAGGAAGGAGAAAGGGGATTAAACAAACTGAGAAAACAGAATGACCTGAGAATTTCATTCATTTCCCCCTTTTAAGCCAAGGTGTAAATGAGGCTGAATTTTCGTTTTCCCATTTAACATGTCCTTTGGTTCATTATTTCTGGATTCACCTATTAAGGCCTTCTTGATGATAATTAGAAAACAAAATCACAGTATTTCTATACAGAGAAATTGGGAAATACGGAAAGATTCCTCACAAATGAAAAACATTGGCTTTTGCAGTTAGATAATTGTGAATTAATTTATTGGAGATTTCAGTAGCAATCACCAAATTCCCTTTTCCAACTTCAGGCATATACTTTGTTCCAAGTTCACAAATGTCCTTTTGTGTTTCTGATTTCAGTTCCTTTCACTTAATATGTTTTCAAAATGTATTTTTAATTTATCTTATTTTGTCTCTTTTTTCTTTTATTTTTTCCCTTATTTTAATTAAAAAATGCAATTCTCTTTTCTATCTACAAACCCAAAGCTTCTCCGGATGTTTTCCTTCAAGGTATAAAGTTTTTGGAATGGAAATTCACTGCATGCAACTGCTGAACTTGAGTATTAATGCTTACATGGTGTTTTATTTATTTGTTTGTTTTTTATGAATAGATATTTAAGCATTCCACTAGAGATTACACAGTTAAGATGAAGAAAGTTCTGATACATTTCTAGAGTGGATTCAGCAACCCTACACTAATTCAGAAGTTTTGACCTGATATGAAACGTAAAGCTACAAGTTCAATAAGATGCCATTAGTAAAGAGATAACCTCTTTAAACATCAAAACCAAAATGTACCCTTCCTTCTCAGATAAAAACGGAATCCAATTTCACTACCCACATCTTCCATATACCACATATACCATACATGCCCTTAAAATTTAATTCTGTAAATCCTAATTCAAAACATGATTGCTTTTAGATGTGTAAATTCAATAACCTCCATTTATCTAAACTCTACCTGTCAGTTCTATGAAAATCATACTCTCTTTGAAATGCTTTAAGTTAAAACACACATCCCTTCCTTCTAGGGTGATACAGAAGCCTTTTGGCTGTATTATACAATATTACAAGATTTCTACTCCCAGTTGAATTGTGATAGCTCATTCTGAGACACTAGGATTTGTATTTGTATTATCCCAGAACTATTAATAACTTATGTACATTAACATTAAATAGACAGACCATTGAGTCTTATAGCAATTTTATAATAGTTTTAAAGGTAAAAAGTAGCTAAGCATTCAGTAAATTGTTACGAGTTTCTTGTCAAATGCAAAAAAAAAGTTTGAAAGGGAGTAATATTTTTTTCTGAATTTTTGCTCACATGTAGAGTAAATACTGCTGACATTCTAAAGCTTCTAGATGGTGAATGTTAGACAAAGCACATGTTCCTTTAAACCATAAGCCATGCCACTGTGGTATATAAACTAAGGAAATGTCTATGTTTCTTTATACTTTAACATTTTATATTAAAAGCATTTAATACATTTGCATAGTATAATGGAGTTTACTATGTGCCTATAGGTAAGCATGACACAAAATTTAATTTCAAAATTGATGCATTTTTATTTCTTTGTTCTACTCACATGCAACATCATTAAATGCCTTCATGTAACCAACCTCACATCTAACCTTTACTAGAACAAGATTCCATGTAGTTGTTTGATTTAAATCTTTAAACTTTGAGTTGTTGCAGTGATAAATCTTCTTGCTCTAGCTATTAGCTTCATGGTATTATTTTCAGCTGCATTGCTTAAGCTCAAAATTTGAAATCTGCAAATGTGCTACCCTTCTAAGTTCAATTTTACCATTGTAGATCACAATGTCATAGCAATTTCCCGAGTACTCATTTTCAGATTCATCATTCACATTGGTACCATTGTGGAGAAATAGCCTGGGATTTGTCAAGTATAATGAACTCTGATCCCTCCTCTTCCCTACCCTTGTCTCAGGCCCCTACTATTGACATCCGCCCAAGATCAGCAACCATTCAAATGAACAATGCCACGCACCTTCAAGAGAGGGATGAAGAATACGGGTACGAGTGTCTGGATGGCAAGGACTGTGCCAGTTTTTTCTGCTGTTTCGAAGATTGCCGAACGGGAGCTTGGAGACATGGACGGATACATATACGCATCGCCAAAATGGACTCCTATGCGCGTATCTTCTTCCCCACTGCCTTCTGCTTGTTCAACCTGGTGTACTGGGTCTCCTACCTTTACCTGTAAAGAGATGCGGGTTTTATTGATATAGGTTTTACTCACGAAATCTCATAGAAAGAATGTGTCCTTTCTAAGTCCACTTAAGTAATCTTGTGTGTGGTTTATAACGATCTGAATTGGGTTCTATGTTCTAACCTGGTAAACTGTGTTCATGTCACTGTTTGCGCCCGGCTCTCCTTTGGTGAGTGTAATTTGAACTATAATATTTCTGTGTTGCAAACCTGCAAGGCAAAGTGAAATTAGAGCAAGAACATTGAAATAAAATAAGATATTTTCCAGCTACAGTAACTGCGATAGTAAAACTATGACTCTTTACAGTAGTGGCATCTTCATTCAATTCAAAATACAATTAGATGCAAAAAGTCCAAAACTATATACACTTATGTTCATTTGGGGTCAAGTTGTGATAAATTTGATCCCAACAGAATATCTCCCTCATTTCAGACAAATCATACCTCACTTTCAATATAAGAACCGAGACAAGGAATCTATTACACTTCTATCCCAAGATAGGAAGAACATTTCCTCCATATCACATGTACAATGCTGTAAATATTTCAATAACGTAGAATGCTTCAAGTTTAATGCATGCATCTCTTTAGAGCCAAAAATCAATGGATTGGGGTTAACATCATAAAGCACCATCTTTTATTCTGTGTGTGTCTGGATTATGAAAGAATCACAAATGTCTTTGGGTTATAAAAGAATCATGAATGTAATTATAAGGGTTTCGCTTTGGAATTGGAGGGAAGCATTTTCACTACTGTCTCCCTTATGCATGAAGATTGAAACAGCTTAATTTATTTCCTTGTATGACACATTAAAACATTTTAAGTAAAATACAGACTGAATATTCGACATCTGCCACCTCTCAATATGCCCAATTACATAAAGCATAGAGTAACTGTATGCGCTTGCCACTGTTTTTTCTTCTTTTTAGGATGATAGATCTTAATAGGATTTACTCCCCATCTCAACATCTGCTTTTAGTGATCGTGAGTGCCTTGGGGACAGTATCCTTGTCATTTCCTCTTTGGGTCCTCAACATCTTGCATAGTGCCTGGCACGTACGTGGTGTTCAATGAATATTGTTGGAAGTGAACTGGCCCACCTGTGTCTGGTGACTCTCTCTGTGCTGGCCTGGAACCAGCGATTCATCTTCTCACATAGGCATTGTCAAGTGGTATTTGATCTTGTAGAAATAAACAGAAGGATCCAAAGAACTTTGGCAATTATATTCATTATCAAAAATTTCTTTTAGCCAAAGCCCATATTTCTTTAAAAACAATATTCATGTCCTATGTTTACATATGAAAAATGAGTCTACTAGGAAGTAATTAGAGTTTGTGTATTGTTTTTCCAGGTTTGGGGATAAGTTAGACTTGACCCTCCACAAACGCACTTGAGAACATATGACAGGCATAAGCAAGATTCACACTTGTCTAGTGTTCAGAATGTAGTATTTTTTGCTCTGTGAAGAGAAAAAAAATACACTGAAGATTAAATTTTAAAAATAAAATAACAAATGAATGACTTACGAGGAGGCTGAACCTTTGATTGTGGCCTCATTAAACCATATTCTGATCATATGAAGTAGGTGTCTCAGACATCGAGACATCTTCATGTACTTATCCCGAATCCTTATTTTTCTAAAATAGCACCCTTTGTCAGTTCTTTTTTTTTGGCAATCATTACTCTCAGTCAGAATTCAGTCACAGCTGGTGAAACTTTATAGATAACCTAAAAAGAATAGAAGAGAGAGTGGCTTTGTTAATATAAATCTATATAACGGTATCATCAAGTCAACTGGATGAATCTTGAAACACATTTAGCTGCCAATTTTACAAACCTTTAACATGTCAGTGCTCTAGTATATAACCTCAAACATATGTAAATAGAATGAATTATTTTCTTGTTTTGAATTGTTAACATATTAAATGTTAACTCTTTGGGAGAGTTGTTGGCAAATTTGCAATGGTAAGAAATGCGTTACTATTGTCAACTTGAAATGTATTCCATCATGGGGATACTCAAAAAAGCTAGCTTTCCAATTGTGCATAGTGTTGGCAATATGAATATATAATACGTATAATCTAATTCTTAATTATCAGCTGCTCCCTGTCTATGTATTTGAAAACCTTTTCGCAAAGGACTTGCCTAACATGTGGACTTTTACAATAAAAACGCTGCATTCTAATCCATGGTGGCATGCCAGTGGTCTGGTTTGGACTTGTTTTGTCTTAAAGGTTGTGACCTCTTTCCTATCTCATTCCTCAATGCAGCTTTCTCTTAATGTCTGCTTTATTCATGAGCAGTGCGATCATGTTTTGCATCGTGATGCTCCTCACTTCAAAAAAATTCATAGGTGCATTTGGGGTACGGAGTGGAGGCAGAGGCAGAAATGCCATGAAGTAATTAAGCTCAAGACTTCCTGTATCTCAAAGCTTGTAATGTGGTTACAAATACGGACCCTGGTGTCAGATGTAGTCGGGGTCCCAAATCCACGTTTAGCAGTTGCTGGACAATTGTCAATTCAGCCTTACTAAGTGTCCATTTGACCAGCTATAAATTAGGTATACTAATGCTGTCCTATGTAATGACACACAACAAATGGTCGAAGGCTCCCTCCCACAATTCTAGTGCCTGTAGTGCTCTGCTCCCATGTGTCTCCATCAATCAGCTCTCCTCAAAGAATCCAGCAGTAGTTCTATATGCCTTAAGGTGACACTACATCATGGGGTTTCTTTTTTACAGAGTATTTGCATGTCAGACCTTCTTTAAACTATCAATTGAAGATCCAAACCTATTGTTGAAAAAATCTCACACATTACATTAGCTGTTTCCAAGGCCAAAGAACCCTTCTCTGTACCCCTAAAATTGAAAACACAGGCAGCCATGCTTCAGAAACCATGTCATATTTTCTTGAAGTCCTCTGAAATTCTCAAAAGAATAAAAGAGCTTAATTTTTTAGAAGCACAGCTGACCTAATCTTCCTCTGCCTGTCATTCTCTTGGCCCTTCGTGGCTCCCTACATCCGATGGAAACACATGTTTCTCACCATCCAGTCATGTGAAAAAAGTCTTCACCCAGGTCTTGTCTGCCATCTAATTCAAGGCCTTATCTCTAGCTGAGTGGGTATTCATTGTATGGCCTTCACCCCGTTTCTTTAAGTCTCAATCTTATTCTGACAAATAGCACCAATTTTTATTTTGGTTTAAGGTCAAATTAACCAAACAAAGCAGTGTTTGGGGATTATGTCAAAAAATGTGATTTCTGTGCTTTGTCACCAAGGATTTTTGTCAAATGTGTAGGGGAAAGGGAGAATGACATAGACCAACAGCACTGCTTTTTATTTTTTATTTTTTTAATGATAGTTGAGTTTCCCATGGTCACACAGCAGGTAGATGGCAAACATGGAAGGATCACCTGAGCATTGCTCTTTCTACTGAACCTCAAAGAGTTTCAGGATTTGGAAATGAAATTTTGAAACACTTTATTGATTTTGTTAATACATTAGGATCTACCAAACTACATTCTCTGATCTTCACCTCACTTTAACTGTTTTAATTGCAATGAGACACAAATTTTAAAATACCTGGCAACAGAGAAAAGTTGCATTTTTAATTCTCTAATATAATAACCAATAGATATTTAATGTTACCCACCGCTTTCAGAATTCTGTTAGAAAGAAGAGCTCTCCAATCATTTGAAGAATTGCAGACCCACAGCTGGCCTTCATCTCTCAGTAACTGGGGCACTGGACAACTATGGAGTTTCCTAGGACTAATCTACAGGTTCATTCTTTCTCCTATATCAGAAAAATGGTGGGAGTGAACTATCATTCTGAGTTTAGAAATTAGAAGCCAATTACAAAACCCAGTTGTAACTCTCTTTTGCCATATATAGGATAATAAAGTGCTCCTTTATTATTGTTTGTATAACAAAATGAAAAAGCAGAGGCTTTTGTTCCAGATCATCTAGGTTCAAATCCTGCAATGTTGAGACCTATTGTCCAGATTTTCTCTGCCTCAGTTTTCTCATCTGACAAATGGAGATAATAATGGTTCATAACTCATGGTTTCATAGTGAGAAGTAACTAAGTTAAGGCTAAAGAATGACTGGCACAGCTATGAAGTGCCATCAAAGAAAGGTGCAAGGATTATAGCCTTCCTTGCTTAAGAATCATTATCATTTATGAAGTTAACTACTACATTTTTCCACTTTGTGGGAATGCAGTACAATAAACATCATTATCGGCATCATGCCATACTTGGAAAATTCATGTACATAAAGAAAATTATAGAGTTAAGTATTGATAAGTAGCTGTTTTGAAGTGGAACAGTATGTCATTTAAATCACTATATTAAAAATATAAAAATGCCTGGGCCAGTCGAGTGGTACGTGGGTTAGGGGTTTCTCTTGGTGTGCCAGCTCTGAACAGCAGGGACCCGGTTCAGATCCCACATATGAGGGCCAGTGATGCTGCACCCTCTACAACTAAGATTGTGAACAATAGCTCGACCTGAAGCTGGGCTGCTGAGTTGCTGGTGATGGCGTAGGCTGTAGCCCCTGCTGCAGTGGGATGCCGTGAGCCACC